GATGCTTCTACGCTTTCGTCTGCGAGCAGCCGACTGCTATATAAAGGCGACACTCAGCTGCAAGTCAAGCAGTGACAAAGCAAATTGGTTGGCGTTAACATCAGTGAAGACGTAAAGTGAACGCGTTGGGAATTACATTTAAGTAGAGGAAATTGTGAAAGTTGATGTTAGTGATTATAAATAGTAAAGTGCAGTATAATTGAATTGTGAATTACTGAGGAAATAAAGGACATTAGATAGAATCTTTATAACGAAAGAAACTGCAAATTAAGTTGGCGAGTTTTTATTTAACAATCCAGAGATCGTACCCGAAGGATCTAGAAAATAATCGAGGTTGATTCAGTAAAATCGTAACAATATCATTGTAGAAACCTACAAGTTACAAAACTCATATATTTCACAGAGACGAATAGAAATACAAAACGTGTTGAACGAGCAGAGCGACACGGAACGTCGCCCCTTCATCGTTAACTCAGACTTAGTGGTAACACCGTTGTGTTTCTAATTTAAGAACTATCGATACTCATTGTTTCATTGTTCATTCATAAATTCTTATTGGTTTAAATTTATGCAATATAATTCTTACCACATTTTTGCGGATAATCCATGACAACTTTTGAAATGCTTAGATTTTTAAGAAATACACGTTTGTATTGCACATCTGTTAGTGGAACGAATAGAACAAAACCTGTCACTACAAAGGAATCAAAATTAAATTTTAAAAAGTTGAAATATCCCACAAAAGTTCCGATTAATCCTGTGTTACAAAATTTTCCAATTGTAGAGAAGTCTGTGATTGATAACCCAACAATACAACTACTTGAGCGGCTTGCTTTAGTAAATTTGGAAAACAAAGAAGCATTAAGCACATTGGAAAGCAGTATAGAATTTGCTGAAAAAATAACTCTAATAGAAACAACAAACGTATTACCTTTCTATACAGTTTTGGAAGATCAAACTTTGTATTTGCGTGAAGATAGCGTAACAGAAGGTAATTCCCGAGAAAATATCTTGCGTGGTGCAAAGGTTACGGAGGAGGATTATTTTGTGTCACCACCTGGAAATATACCACTGCAACAAAAGGATAAAGACTTTTCTGAAAACTCAACTGAATGTAAGGAAAATGCATAAAGTTAAGAAAGCCGTTAAGGCATTACAATCTTCTAATTACTTATCTGCTACTATTGACGGTAAAGGATACATAAGTAATTTTAATTTACTGATAAATGGGATTAAATATAGTGAACAGATTTTAAAACATTGGCAAAGAACACATTCCTTAGATAAGGAAGTTTCTTTCAAAGAAATGAACTTAATGGATAGCTATTTCTGTGAAGCTTTAAAAACTAGGCACAAGTTCATATACACAAAAGAATTTCACGAAAGCATTAGATATTTGCTTAGTAAATCAAAAAGTCACGAACAGCCGTCAATTTTAAAATCTGTCCATACTGTATTGAAACATGAGAGTTTAGAAGGGACAGTTCCGTCCTCTACTAATAAGCATACATATTTGGAGACTCTTTACCTAATCCCTTCCGAAAAAGGGTTTAGTGTGTTTTTCAACTCGCAGCGTGCGTGTAAAATTTGGTGGATGCGTTTTTCTGCAGATCCTAGTAAATACTTTGTAGAGCCATATGAGTTTGAGGCCGCATCCAATTTAGCACCATCACCTGGCACGCAGTCCATCACTATTAAATCTAAACTTCCATATGCTACACTTGATGTCGAAAGCATAACAGTTATTCCTTTGCATACAGCCAGCCTGGATGCAGATTTCGCACAGTACTTAAAAATTAATAATAAAACTAGAACCATACCAAGCGTTATACGTTCTGTAATAGATTTACAAGCAGCAACAGGCGGTAAGAATACAATTATGTAATGAACTTTTGTGACATTGCGAAAACGAGAGATTTTATGAACTAATATTTTTCTGCAATATAATATCATTGCAGCTGTGCTCTTCGATAGTGTTGATAATGAACGAGAAAATACTTTGTTGCTCAACAGGAAATTAGCACCTTTTCAATGTGTTGTTACTTGTTATCATGAGGGTAAAAAAATATATAATAGAAAAAATTAAAATGTTTCACATTATTCTATTGACAGGCAAACAATTAAAAGATTTAGAAGATCTCTGCCTGCATATCCAATACATACTATCTCGTTCTGGTCTTCGGATAATGGGGGAAAATATACTTTTCACAAACTCTTTGCAAGAATTGGAATCCGAAATTTTTAAATGTGATAACCTGGGAGTCCCGTATTTGCTAATAATCAGCGAAAGTTCTCTTCATAACGGCCTTCTGAAATTGCGTAACCGCGATACAACTTTAGAGGAAACCATACATATTAGTGATTTGCCCAATTATTTATTACAAATATTTTCTTAACAAGTTTATAAATTACGTATATATGTAAATAAACCAAAAATATTAATTAAAATCGCATAAATATTGACGCACATTAAACCCAACAACTTGACTTATGCAAACTATGAACTCAAGACCAACTGTACATTGCAAGCGAGAAGTGCCATCCATTGAATTTTCACCCGAAACAAAGCTAAGCAGTTTTAGGTTGACTAATGTTGATATTTGGGATAATAAATTACAAGTCAAACCAACTTTTTCTTCCAGTATAGCATAAAATATGGCCAAAAGGCGATCAACACTAAAAGACTTCGGTCCAATGTAGGTGCTCATTTTTTCGGCTACCTTTAAATAATAATAAAATAAATAAATATGATATTTTATGTAAACTTTATAAATGTATTTACTTACTTTCGCTTTGGCATTAACGGCTTGCATGCGTTTTCGCCGTTTTCCGTGATTTTTAACAAACAAACGTTTATCTTCTTTTGAAGAGTTATAACTTGCGATGAAAGCTGCTATCAACAAGTACTTTCCATAGTAGGGAAGTTCCAAGGACTGTGCTATTTTAACACTATCTTTATCATTCAGCTCTGCTCCACTCTAGAATACTTTAATGTTTTCAATTGGAACTTAATAAATACTATACAAATATATTACCTTCGGTTGCCCATTACGTATATAAACCTGCATGAGTGCGGTTCGCAATTGGCCAGCAACACAACGCCAGAGACGAGAAACATCAGACATATCAACGTTACCTTCTAATATAGGTGTCATATAATAAGTAAAACATTTTCTTGCCGTAATCTTCAGTTCAGATAGATCACGACATGCCTTATAGAAGACACCTAGAAACAAATTTAAATAATTGTTAAAAAAGTCCCGGGATACGGTGTTAATGACATCTATTTTTTGTTCTAAATTTTCAGTTTTGTTGCGTTGTAGTTGTGAGATCAAAAGATTTTGCGCATTTTTAAAATCCGCGCTCAATATTTTAAGTGTTTCAGACTTTGTATACTGTGGAAAGTATACAATAATAGGTTCATCAATACTAGTTTTACAGTAAAATTTTTCTAGTGGCAGTTGTGTTATTAATATTACACAAAGATTCAATCCACTGAGTTCTTGTAAACGCAATATCGATGGTAAAACATTCGCCTCCATATCTCTTAACCGTTCTGCATTGTCTAAAGCTATTATGTAGCGAGTATCTTCTGTTTTTAATTGCCGTAACCGTTCAACGAAGTCTTTCAGATTTTCAACTTTGACCTCTTCAGCATTCTCGCTGCATAAAGTTTCCGCTATGTTTTCAAAAAGTATTCTCGAAGAATAGCTTTCAACACAATTAACGAATGCTACATTAAATACATTCTCATTGTTGCGGCGTACACTTTCTTTCAGTAAATGCTTAATTATTGTTGTTTTCCCAGTGCCGGTGTGCCCATGTATGTGTATAGCATTGGGAAACATTTCCTCATCGTAACTAATAAGATTGATAAGTTCTTTTACAATTTTTTTTCGGCACGGAAATTTCTCAGTTATAGTTTTGCATACATCCATCTCTTACAAGGCTTTGACGCGATTAAAGTAAGTAAATGCAATATATTTAAAATAAGCTTTATTTATCTTTTAAAACTGAGACTTTTGGCGATTGTGAAGAATACTTGAGTTACATTCGAAATAATGTTTGATCGATTAACAAAGAATCTAATCGTAATCGGTTCTTAACTTAAGGCTCAATCACAAAGAACTTACCTTAAATATTTACTCAGACTATGGAACGAAGTAAACCGGGGGTATGCCACAAGAAAAGCATAAAAAATTACGTTTTTTCTGTGGTTTTACAACTTTCTAAAAAAATTAAAAATGAGCAAAATGAAATACACTATGCATGAATAAACCTAAATAATCTTTTGTTTTGGTTTCTTGTCATTGTTCGATGCTTTCATAGATTGTCATGCAACTCAGCACTTACAAGTACTAACATCCAAAAAGTTATAGAAAAAATTTACCTAAGTAAAAATTTATCTAATTTTTCTAATTGCGGTCGCCGACAGGAGAGTATATCAACCCCTCTGAGTGTATTTCTGATATGAAATGAAGCTCCTCATAAAAAGCAATCAGCCTTTCAAAGGCGGGTTATTTAAACTGTAACCCCCCCATTTGTTGGAAAAGCATCAAGACGCAAACTAACAAATTGAGGAAATGTTCTACTCGAGTTGAAGAATGGATTTAATATCAGGGCTACCGCCCTGTATCTTATCTTAAGTAAACAATTTTATATTTGGCAAAAAGCTAGAAACACGGAAACTTTATATCAACTGGGATAAATGCAAATCAGCTGATTTCAATTCAACCCGCGATTATGCTACCGAGTTTACGCTTGTACATATGTAAAAAAAAATGTGTTTAATGTACCCGGATAGGCGCCTTAACTCGTGGTGAAAAAGTTTCAATGCTAGTGAGTTTAATCTACCCGAGTAGAAATAAAGCATAAACGTAGTAACACTTACACTAGCACTGACCCCTGACCATTTTTTTCTTTTCCCTCTCTTGAAAATCAAGGAGATCTTCTAGGATAAGCTGTTATACAGACGTACGCTAATTTTTCAAGTTCGTTAGGGCAGCTTTGAAGTTGTAAAAGGAAGAAAGTAAAAGTTTCGTGCATAGTTAAGGAAACTGTTATTCATTGAGTAATAAATAAACGTTCATTGACCTTACAGATTAAGAAATCGTGAAACAAATTTGGTGACTTTTATTTAACAAACCAATGATCCAACTCATGACTCATTGGGCGCATTTAAGAAAAATTGATACAACATTTAAGTTTTGTTTCCCTTCTTTTAATAACAGCTTTTTTTAGGCGGCATTGATTAAAAAATTAGAGCATAGATTGGATCACATTAGAAATAAATTGCTAACCAATGAAACTTTATGTTATTTTATTTTTAATTTCTCCAATTCCATTCAGTAACGAGCTAATGGGGTTGGTGAACACCCATTTGGGTATCCAAATTGGCATTTGCTGCAAATCATTTTCACAAAACAGGGCGAGTTCGAGAACGTCAAATTACTTTGTGATGATGCATCATAGCAATGCAACCCTACATTCTATAAATTTGCTTTGCAACAATACTTAGTAAACTCTGACATTCTGGAACGCTTTTCGTGCAAATTAGTTGATTTTCGGTGAAATGGGTTAAATATGAAACAGATCAAGAAAATAAGTAATATAATGTTTAAAAATAATATTTAGATAAAAAAACTTGGGGTCCGACGTAGGCCGTTGTTGCTAAGAATTTAAGGCAAAATAAAAAATCACAAGCTTTAGCGATGCGCAGTTTGCTTTTGTTTGTACATCAATAACTTTACCGATACATTTTCGAACATGATACATCGTCAAAGTTTGCACTGTTTCAACTGATGTTTACATTTTTGATATGTGCAATTTGGTTCCCTTTATTCGTTGCATCAGTATGATAGCGGCTTTTTTTATGATTTTTTATATTATTTTCTTCTCCAATTAAAATTAGCAGACACAATTTCAACTCAACATGGTCGTTGGCTTCACTACGGCCCTTATATCGTTAATAATATTCGCAAATGGGGTGATCTTCTACTAAAAGGCAACGGCAACATACTTTCTCATGTTTTTTTTAAGTTATATCAATATATTTAATAAGCGTAAATAGTTAAAACGCTCATATTCACAAAAATCGTATCAAATTACCGTTGTTTAACTGTCATGCGTTACGAATTTTAGTTCGAACCTGGATAAAATCGACTGAATTTCATCACAAATCAATGCTATCGCACTATTTGCAGCAAAAAGGGGGATTGTTTTTTGAAACCATCTGTACTTCACACAAATCGATGACTTATTATTTATCGTTAACCGATTTTTATATAGCAAGTTCTCTGGTTTGACAATCATTGATGACGTTTATTTTTCTTTATAGAGGACAGTGCAAATAATTTGGTAGATTTCCTTTGCGAAGTCATATATATTTTCAGTATATTTTATAATTTTTACCATCCTTCATTAGTAAATGATTTGGAAAATGCAGTGTTTAATTGTTAAAACAGAAAACATTTACTAGACAATTACTTGTGTGGAGAGTGGTCTTGACTGATAGGTGACCTTATCGGCCATCAATAAATATTACCTTAATGTGAAGGATTTTGACAATATGCAAAGTTTCTCTTCAAAAGGTAAAGAAATGTTTATCGTACGTGCACTAGAAAAAATTTTAGCGGATAAAGATATTCGACGTTCGCACCATTCGCAATTGAAAAAATCATGCGACTCGGCCCTTGAGCAAATAAAAAACGAACTCATCAATGCAGGTCAAATTGCTGAAGGAAATGAATTGCCATGTGCAGCATTACCATTACCCAAAAACGATGCTGCCAGTATTATCAATGCCGAAACTTATTTTTTACCCTTTGAATTAGCGTGTAAAAGTCGGTCGCCACGTATTGTTGTGACGGCACTCGATTGTCTACAAAAGCTTATAGCATATGGACATTTGACAGGTGCCATACAGGATTCAGCCAGTCCTGGGCATTTACTTATCGATCGAATTGTAAATACAATTTGCGGTTGCTTTAATGGACCGCAAACCGATGAAGGCGTACAATTACAAATCATTAAAGCGTTACTTACCGTAGTTACATCACAACATGTTGAAATACACGAAGGAACCGTTCTACAGGCAGTACGTACTTGCTATGATATATATTTGTCAAGTAAGAATCTAGTAAACCAGACGACCGCACGTGCAACTCTCACACAGATGCTTAATGTGATTTTTGCGCGAATGGAAAATCAAGAGTATGAAACTAGTACGAATTCCCATATGGAAAGTTTAAATAAGACCAATTCAAGTGCAGATATTGGTGCACAGTCACCTGAAGTAGAGTCTGTTGAAAATAATATTAGTGGTGAAGCAAATATGTCTATGGAGGAAATTGCAGCATCTGTATTGGATGAAGTTCTCACTAGTAAGTATTTTATATATTACAATGATTCTGCTGATTTGTCTTATGCACTCTTAACATTATTTGATAAATTTTGGATTTATAACATATATTTGTTTTTTTTTTTTTTTTTTTTAAGATGCATTTGAGCTGGCAATGAAGGATATATCCAACGGGGCGGTCGAAGAAGCAGCCACTAATTTATCATTTGGTTTGGTAGAAACAAACGAAACCCACTTAATTTCCGAAGAAAATGCAGAAAATCAAAATGAAAATGACTCCGTAGTAACAGCTAAATTTACACATATATTACAAAAAGATGCATTTCTCGTATTTCGTGCTCTATGTAAATTAAGCATGAAACCGTTACCAGAAGGCCATCCTGATCCGAAATCGCACGAGCTACGTTCAAAAGTGTTATCTCTACATTTGCTTCTATCAATATTACAAAATGCTGGCCCGGTATTTCGTTCGAATGAAATGTTTATAATGGCTATTAAGCAATATCTGTGTGTAGCACTTTCAAAAAATGGTGTTAGTTTAGTGCCAGAAGTATTCGAATTGTCACTGTCTATATTCGTCGCGTTACTTTCTAATTTCAAAGTTCATCTCAAAAAGCAAATTGAAGTATTTTTTAAAGAAATTTTTCTTAACATCTTAGAAGCGAATTCTAGCTCATTCGAACATAAATGGATGGTTATACAAGCATTAACACGCATATGTGCGGATGCACAATCAGTCGTTGATATTTATGTTAATTATGATTGCGATTTTTCAGCCGCAAATCTATTTGAAAGACTCGTAAACGATCTATCAAAAATTGCGCAAGGTCGTCAGGCCGTTGAACTAGGAGCAAATCCACTGCAGGAAAAATCAATGCGGAAACGGGGATTGGAATGCTTAGTCTCGATATTGAAGTGTATGGTTGAATGGAGTCAAGATTTATATGTCAATCCGAATCTATCATCAACGAACTCACAAGAGCCTATAAATGCACATGCAGCACATAAGACTAGCACAGATTTAACATACAAACAAAGCCAATTGGATAATACTGATTCAATTTCTCAAACCAATAATTCTACACGTTCAGCCTATGGTGGCTCCAGTCATAGTATTAATTCCTTCGGAAGTGTTAAGAATACGGAAGTGCTCGACTTACCAGAAGCTTTAGAGGAGCGCAAAATGCGTAAGGAAGTAATGGAAACCGGTATTGAATTGTTTAATAGAAAACCCAAAAAAGGTGTTCAGTTCCTGCAGGAAAAACAACTTTTAGGCACAAAAGCAACTGATATAGGTAAGTGGTTGCACGAAGATGAACGTTTGGATAAAATAGTTATCGGTAATTATCTGGGCGAAAATGACGATCATTCTAAAGAAGTTATGTGCGCTTACATTGACGCTTTCGACTTTCATAACTTGGAAGTTGTGGCTGCACTGCGTTTGCTGCTCGAGGAATTCCGTTTGCCTGGCGAAGCGCAGAAAATTGATCGTTTAATGGAGAAATTCGCAAGTCGTTACTGCGAATGCAATCCAAATAATCAGTTGTTTCAGAGTGCTGATACTGTATATGTGCTAGCATTTTCTATAATTATGTTAACAACCGATTTACATTCACCACAAGTTAAGAATAAGATGACCAAAGAGCAATATATTAAAATGAATCGTGGAATCAGCGACAGCAAAGACGATTTACCTGAGGAATATTTGTCGTCTATATACGATGAAATCGCTGGTCACGAGATTAAAATGAAAAACACCATTGTCAGCAAACCGGGCAAGCAGATTATAGTAAATGAGAAGAGGCGTAAACTTTTGTGGAATATGGAAATGGAGGCAATTTCGGCTACTGCAAAGAATTTAATGGAATCAGTGTCACATGTGAAGTCACCATTTACATCAGCTAAACATTTGGAACATGTGCGACCAATGTTTAAAATGGCCTGGACACCGTTTCTCGCAGCATTTTCAGTTGGTCTACAGGATTGTGATGATCCGGAAATAGCTTGTCTGTGCTTAGATGGTATACGTTGTGCTATACGCATTGCATGCATTTTCCACATGTCCTTAGAACGTGACGCTTATGTGCAAGCTTTGGCACGTTTTACGCTGCTAACTGCTAATTCGCCAATAAACGAAATGAAAGCGAAGAATATTGACACCATAAAAACACTGATAATGGTGGCACATACAGATGGAAATTATCTTGGCGGCAGTTGGCTTGATATCGTTAAATGCATTAGTCAGTTAGAGTTGGCGCAATTGATTGGTACAGGTGTGCGTCCACAATTTCTTTCCGGTGCACAGACAACTTTAAAGGATACTTTAAATCCTAGTGTTAAAGAGCACATTGGTGAGACAAGTAGTCAGAGCGTTGTTGTTGCTGTGGATCGAATATTTACGGGTTCCATAAAGTTAGATGGTGATGCCATAGTGGACTTTGTCAAAGCACTTTGTCAAGTTAGTATATGTTTTTTTTTTATTTTTATTTACATGTTTGAGTAATTATCTTTTTGAATTATTCTAAAGGTATCTGTTGACGAATTGCAGAACGTTCAGCCTAGAATGTTTTCACTACAAAAAATTGTCGAAATATCTTATTATAATATGGAACGTATTAGATTGCAATGGTCTCGTATATGGCAGGTGTTGGGTGAACACTTTAATGCCGTCGGTTGTAATACAAATGAAGAGATATCATTTTTCGCTTTGGACTCGTTGCGCCAATTATCCATGAAATTCATGGAGAAAGGTGAATTCGCCAATTTCCGTTTCCAAAAAGACTTCTTACGACCTTTCGAACATATTATGAAAAAAAATCAATCTCCTGCTATACGTGACATGGTCGTTCGATGCATCGCACAAATGGTCAATTCACAGGCGCATAATATAAAATCCGGTTGGAAGAATATATTTTCAATATTTCATTTAGCAGCGAGTGATAACGAGGAGGCTATTGTAGAGTTAGCATTTCAGACAACTGGTAAAATTATCGGCGAACTATACCAGAAGCAGTTTGCCGTTATGGTTGATTCATTCCAAGATGCCGTAAAATGTTTGTCGGAGTTCGCTTGCAATGCACGCTTCCCCGACACTAGTATGGAAGCCATACGTTTGGTACGCACATGTGCGCTTTGTGTGCATGATGCACCGCAACTATTTGCTGAGCATGCGGGCATGGAAAATGATATTTCTGTTGCCGAAGAGGATCGTGTTTGGGTCCGTGGTTGGTTTCCAATGCTTTTCTCTCTATCGTGCGTGGTAAATCGTTGTAAGTTGGATGTCCGTACACGCGGTCTCACTGTGCTGTTTGAAATTGTTAAGACGCATGGTGATAGTTTTAAACCGAATTGGTGGAAGGATTTATTCAACGTTATATTCCGCATATTCGACAATATGAAATTGCCCGAGCATGTCACTGAGAAATCCGAATGGATGACAACTACTTGTAATCATGCTCTATACGCAATTATCGATGTATTTACGCAATATTTCGATGTGTTGGGCTACCTGCTATTGGAAGATCTCTTTGCGCAGTTACATTGGTGTGTTCAGCAAAGCAATGAGCAATTGGCTCGCTCCGGTACAAATTGTTTAGAGAATTTGGTTATATCGAATGGTTTTAAATTCAACGAATCTACTTGGGATAAGACTTGTCAATGCATATTAGACATTTTCAATGCAACATTACCGACAGAGCTACTTACATGGCGTCCAAATGTTCAACAAATACAAATACAAACACATGCTAGTGATCATCAACAACATCAGCAGCAACAAAAGGGATCATTTATTTCGCAAAATTCCCACGACAAAAGCAATCAAAGCTCAATGAATCGCAGTCAATCACAACATTCCGTTTACAGTATGAGCGTACTGGTCGATGATGATAGTATAGGTACTTCACAAGGCTATCATCACAATTCACATGTTATGTTGCACAGTTCACAATTTGAAAGTCTACACATTAAGTGTGTCGTGCAATTGGAACTTATTCAAACGGTGGACAATATAGTATTCTTTCCGGCAACGTCACGCAAAGAAGACGCCGAGACATTAGCACAAGCTGCTGCAGATTTAGTTGGCGGCAATGCATCGCAAAATGTATTGGAATGTCAGCGCGAGGAGCAGGGCATGTATAGCTACTTGCATACGCGGCAATTGCTAATTTTAGCTGATTGCCTTATGCAGTCGCATCGGTTTGCAAAACGCTTCAATGCCGATCATGAGCAGCGAAATATATTGTGGCGTGCTGGCTTCAAAGGTTCTATAAAGCCAAATTTGCTAAAACAGGAGACTGCCTCTTTAGCGTGTGTGCTGCGTATATTTTTAAAAATGTATGGAGATGAGAATCGTCGCAGCGATTGGCCTGGCATCGAACATGAGTTGATACAGGTTTGCAAGGAGGCACTCACTTATTTTCTCAGTCTGCAAAGTGAGGCACATCGTGATGCATGGACTTCGTTGTTACTGTTGATACTTACGAGGCTGTTGAAGATGTCCGATTCAAGGGTATGTATGATTAATGTGAAATCATTTTAAGTTGTATTGTATATACGTGTACATATATAAGAGCTAGCAAATGTTTCCAACTGGAACAGAAAAAAATTAAATACATTGTATATTGTAGATTTATTCACGAACAATCTGAAAATGTCAACTGTTTCTTACTGGACCTGTCTAATACATATAACTATTTATATAGAGTCATCTTAAAAATTATAGATGCACATAAATTTTTCAAGCAAAAATGCTTGGCGTTTTTTATAAATTACACTGGCACATAAATTATACTTCCGTTAGACCTACAAAGTTTATTTAGGACCGAAACATCAATTTTTTTTTAACGGTCAAAACTGACAAAGTTCTGTTTCACCGAGTCGGAAAATATGCTTTTACACATGAAGCATCTGGTGTGCCGATGCTATTAATCATTTTTTAAAATAATTTCATTTTGGTTTGTGCGAAATACATAGTATAGGTGTTTTTTAATTGCTCAGAGTCAAGCTTAATATTATCTAACCAAGCTAATAGCTATAAAATAAAATTTAGACACTCAAAAGGGACAGACCAAAGTGCTGCTTGGCTTATCTTTTGGGCACTTCATAAAAACTGGTTGTAGGAAATAAAAAAATAATATATTTAAGTTGGTTCAATGACTTCAATGATTGTCCTAACCTTCTATTCTATAAGTCTAATTGCTCTAATTTCGATTTTTTTTCGGCAAATGAGGATTTATACTTAATTTGAGTGTGCTGAATTAAATAGCGGTTTTTGGAAGCCACCTGGATTTTTTTAAAATTCCCTATTTTATATTTTTTGGTCTATTTATAAAAGCAATGATCTCTCAATCACTTGAAATTCACTGAACCGGGGTTTTTGGAGTTGCTAATTACAAATCTAAAAACTTTAAAATTCAAAATGTAGGTAAATCAATCAAAATCACTTGAATCACGCTACTCGAGAAGTTTATGAGGTAGCTAATTACCACCAAGTTCATGGGTTTCAAAGTTCAAAGTGAAAGATCTTTCGATTAAAGAAAATAAAATGCAAATCATTTGAAATGAAAGGCTTACATTGTTTTTGTAAAAATAACATAGTTTTTAGATTAGTCAGGATTTTGGAGTAATTGTACAGGAGGAGGAATATAGGAGTACAGGCTTGAACTAGATGTGAAGGTCGATGACACAAAAATTCCGACGTTAAATAACCCAAAGATATTGGGAGTAACACTAGCCAGCTTGCACTCCTTCACTTCGCATACGACCGCAATTGCCGCAAAACTCTAGAGCCGCAACAAAATACTCAAAGCGCTAGCCGGCAGCACCTGGGGTAAAGATAAAGAAACTTTGCTAGCAACTTATAAAGCAATTTGCCTGCCGGTCGTAAACTATGCTGCACCGATCTCAGATGAAGAAGCTACAGGCCTGCCAGAACACCGCCTTCAGAACCGCGACAGGAAACCTCCTGATGTCGCCGGAGCATCACTTGCTCAGCGAAGCATCTATGCTATGAGTTAAGAAGCATAATGCTTTCCTCTGCAAGCAGTTCCTATTGGGATGCTACCGCAGGGAGCACCCCAGTAGACACCTAATAGAAGCCGAACCTCTACCTAGACACATCACAAAGGGAGTACTAAATCTAAAGGGCTCAGTCCAGCAACACGTGCAACAACCGCTGGACAGGACGGCGTACAGACAGGCTCTGAACGCCATTCACCAGGAGTCAGTCAACACCTTCAAGAACTCCCTTCCAGTCAATGACGTGCTCGGAGACAAATCACCACCTATAGCACACAACGAGCTCAAGCTGCTTCGAGAGACCTGCGTGATCCTGACACAACTCAGGTCTGGATACTGAAGCAGGTTAAACTATTACTTATCCAGACTAGACCCCAGCATACCCAACGTATGCCCTGCATGTGGAGAGTGTCCGCACGACACTAACCACTTCTTCACATGCACTCTCAAACCAGCTCATCTAACCCTCGTACCTCTCTTGGGTCCAACCCCGTCGAAACAGCTCGTTTCCTGGACCTGCCCTTAGTCGCCGAGGTCATGACTTAGTTTGATCAAACCTGTGCCTAAGCGGGGTTAGCGAACCGTTACAACAACAACAACAAAATTACATTTACTTATTTACTTAATATTACGTTTTAATTATTATAATAATACGAATTTGCTACATTATTTACAAATGTACAAATATAAGTTCATCAAGTTTCCAATCGTATTTGCTTATTTACAAGTATATGTTATATACATACATATATATTGTTTTTTTCGCTTTCAACCACAGCGACCTATGTATCTCAACAAATTGTATACAAAAAGTATATTTTACACTATTATGTAGATAATATTACCGTAATACACACATATATTTCATAAAATGACGCTTTATAAGCGAATTTTCCTTGAATTTTGATTCCTTCTATATACATTGCATTCTCTTTGCAGTTCGCCACGCATGTGTCCAATTACTATACCTTGTTGTGTGAAATGATGTGCTTTGATCTGAAGCCTGAACTAAGAAGTGTCCTTAGACGAGTCTATATGCGAATCGGCCCAGTATTTAATATAGTGAGCCTAAACATAAGGAATTAATTAATTTATTATATCTTTAAACAGTATATAAATTTATATATAATAATACATACATACGATGGCTTATATTTAATAGTTTGTATTCAATATAAAGCCTCGATATATCCTTTCTGAGTTTTCTTTTCATTCATGTAAAGAGAAACCGTAAATATATGCAATTATAAAAATTTTATAATAGCGGAATTCACCTTTGTGGCTTTTGATGTTGTAGAATGTATGTGTAAATAATAAATAAAATAAAATATTTAGATGAAAAAGAAAAGAATTAATAAAAAGCTAGTAGTTATTCAAGCCGTAAATTGAACAAAAAAAAAAAAAATATATAAAAATGGTTGCAAAGAAATGTGGAATTTATGTATTTGTTACTTAAAATATTTTGATTATTATAAGTTACATATATTTGTTTTCTATGTGCACTTTCTTTTAAGTTTTGTGTTTTTTGCTTCAAACATAAGGTGTTGGTGGCGAGGATATATATTGAAATGAGTATAAATTATTACTGTAATTACTCTCTATGAAGATAATATAATACTATGTAAATACGTAATATACGCAATATAGAAAAAACATAAATATGCACGCTAAGTATGTATGTATATATAACATTTAATGATTTAAGAACACATATTATTATTATTTTAAACATGTTATAAAAATTATTAAACTCGATTTAAATACATAAGTGCTGTTCGTTGCTTTTATTAACTGAGTGAGAAATGTGGAATTGAAACAAAGTTGCTCGGATATTTCTCTAGGCTATCTCGACTACAGCATCTACCTCCTTTTCCCGGTAAAAATAACGAGTTGTACATATTCCGGAATATCATTTTGGAGATATTTTTAATAACGAATTTTTTAATTACGAATCTTTTTTATTCATGACCGACATTTCTGAGAAACGTGTTCTGGCTTTTTACGACGCTACTGTGGATATGGTTGTTGTTGTTTTAACCGCAAAATACTCCCCGAATTGGAGAGTCCTTGGCCGGATAAAAATCCGGGTCATTCCGGTATAAAGACCCGACTGTCGCGGGTAAATTCTTGAGCCCCTAACCCGCAGGGGCAACACTGGTTTAAACAGCTGACTCACGTTTTGTTTTTTGTATCACTGTCAAACGTCTTCAGTTTGGTCTATAATTTCGCAACGCCTCGGATGAGATACCCCCTTTCTGTTGACGAACCGCAATCGAATTAATGATCACGATTTGAGGGCATGCACCTGGAATGTCCTGTCCCTTAATTGGACAAGGCGCCGCTGCCCGGCTGGCTGATGTCTTCGTAGGAATAAAAGTTGACATCACCGTCAAGAAGTGCGATGGACGGGAGAAGGACGAAAGCGGAAGAGAGACTCCGTCGTCGAGTACTGGCATTCACCCCGGTGGATGAGCGTCTCGTCACAATTCGCATCAAAGCGAAATTTTTCAATATATCGTTAATTTGCGCCCACGCCCCGACGAAAGAGAAGGGCGATTTGGCCAAAGATGTCTATCATGAGCGCCTAGAGCACACTTACGAGCGCTGCCCCTAACACGATGTAAAAATCGTGCTTGGCGATTTTAGTGCCAGGTAAATTTTGTTACGACTGTTGGAAAATTCTGCCTTCACAATGAAACATTTCCTAATAGATTGAGACTGATCGACTTCGCCGGGTCCCGAAATATAGTTATCTGTAGTATTAGATTCCAACACAAAAAATACATCAAGCTACTTGGGCGTCCCCTGATCGAAAAACACAAAACCAGACCGATCATGTTGTGCAAGACGGAAGACATGTCTCCAGTGTTCTTGACGTGTGTACACTCCAAGAATTCAACCTCGACTCGGACCACTATCCTGTTGTCGCGAAGATACGCATCGCCTCTGTGTATCGAAGAACGCCCATCAACATACATAAGGAAAGTTCGGCGTGGAAAAACTGCAATCGCAACAGACTGCCGAACGATTTTCTACTCGACTTGCACTTCTGCTCTCTGAGAGCACTCACCAGCGACTCGGTATACGAGACCTGTCGGACGGCATTGCAAACTCCCTACGTACAGCTGCAAACTGCGACTGCCGTGTCGCAGTGGACAGAAAACAGACTTCCTATCTTGCAACCTTGTAATCAAACACAGCACGTGAGGGGTGGGATAGCCACCGATGCCCAGAGTATACTGAATTTATGGAGGCAACACTTCTCCAACCTCCTGAATTGTAGTGAAAATAAAGAACCCGGAGATGGTGAACCCGAGATCCTAATCGATGACGATGGAAAAAACGTTCCATTACCTGACCATGAAGAAGTTGGAATAACAATTGCACGCTTAAAAAGCAATAAATGTGGTCGGACGAAAGCATACTCGACGATTGGAATTTTAAAGGGGACCCTGTCGAGCGTATTGTCAACAAACTTATTAGACCTTATTAGTGTGGCTTCAGACCTGTTAAGTCAGCCATTGACCAGATATTCACCATGGGCCAAATTTTAGAAAAGACCCGTGAAAAGAGGATCGACAGCCAACACCTCTTCGTCGATTTTAAAGCCGCTTTCGACACCTCGAATAGGAGTTGCCTTTACGCTGCTAAGTCTGAATTTGGTATCCTCACTACACTTATACGGCTGTATAAGCTGGATCTAGACAACACCATAACCAGACACCAGTCAGAATTGGCAAGGACCTCTCCGAGCCGTTTGGTACCAAACGAGGTTTCAGACAAGGTGACACTTTGTCGTGTGATTTCTTCAATTTGATTCTGGAGAGAATAATAAGAGCCGCAGAGCTAAATAGAGAAGGTACAGTCTTCTATAAGAGTGTACAACAACTGCACCGTTAGTTCTGCTTTCTCCAGGCTTGATAAAGAAGCGAAGCGAATGGGTCTGGTAGTGAACGAGGACAAGACGAAATACCTCCTGCCATCAAACAAACAGTCATCGCATTAGCGATTTGGCTATCACGCTACTGTTGACAGTCATAACTTTAAAGTCGTAGATAATTTCGTCCATCTAGGAACCAGCATTAACACCAATAATACCGTCAGCCTGGAAATTCAACGCAAAATCACTCTTGCCAACAAGGGCTAACTTGGACTGAGTAGGTAATTGAAAAGTAAAGTCGTTCCCGTCCTGCTATATGGTACGGAAGCATGGACGATGACAACACCTGATGAGAGTTGGCGTTAGGAGTTTTTGTAAGAAAGGTTTTGCGTAAGATTTATGGTCCTTTGCGCATTGGCAACGGCGAATACCGCAAACGATGGAACGATGAGCTGTACGAGTTATACGGCAACACTGATATAGTTCAGCGAATCAAACAGCAGCCGCCACGCTGGCTAGGTCATGCGGTCCGGATGGATGCGAATACTCGAGCTTTGAAAGCTTTCCATTAGTACCCGCCGGTGAAACCAGAGGAAGAGGAAGACCTTCACTCCGTTGAAAAGACCAGGTAGAGAAGGACCTGGCTGTACTTGGTATTTTCATTAACTGAACATTACTTCAAAACACGAATCTCCCGCAGACAAGAGCGAAAAGATAACACTTTGCTCAAATTTGTTTTTTTTTTCTCAACAAACGGGGTGGTAAACCTAATTTAAGTGCGCTGAATTGAAAGTTTTTTAAAGTCTAAAATATTTAAAAAAATTTTTTTTTTAAGGAAAATCATTGATTTCTCATTAAAAACCCTGGGATTCACATGAAACTCACTTTGGCGATGTTTATAAAAATTCAAAATGGCAGACATTTTTTAAAAATTCCTTAAATTCACTTAAAACTCAACACTTGAGAATTTTCGGGGCCGCAGATGACGGATAAGAAAACAGATTTTTTAAATTAAAAATGAAAGGTTCAATATGGTAGATGAGTTTTCGAAAAAATTTTCAATACACATGAACACTGGTATCACTGTGATGGAGTAAGAGAATTTTGTGTTCGGTCAAGCAGGGCACCCAGTGCCAAGACAGCCCGTTGCAGAGCTGTAGCCGTACCATTAGTATGCAAGTGCAATGCGTGGTCCAGGAAAAGAGTGCTAAGCTTGGTAAATTGTGAGATTGATTGTATTTTAGTCGCTCCCCGCACTCTGGTTCTTTATTGCGTAATTAAGCCCAATCGGCGTAAAATTAATGTGGAAACATCTGAATTAAATAAACAGGGGATTTCTATCTTCTTGATTAAGAACAAATGATCAACCGCAATTATGCGACTATCCTGCTTTTGGCAGTGCTGGGTTACAGAATTTCGTGACCATTCTGCTAGACATAGCCGATAGAGCTCAATCTAACCGAACCTAATGAAACAGATCTCATAATCATGGTAGGCGCTCACCTAACTGTTGTTTAACTACAGCAATAGATTTAAGTACAGATATGTATATATTAATGTGCGTGCATATACATATATTGGATGAGTGCATAAGTTCGTGCCCGATTCCGCTGGATGCCGTTCGAATCGTTTGAGAGTGGCGCTCGTGAAAGACATATATACATATTATATATCGTTGGAAAGGTGACAGTCCGAACTGTAAATCAAGCATAAAATAACTTCATTTTGATTTGAGTTGCTTAGTGAAAAGACGCATGGAAGATGGACAACGAAAAAGATCATATGCGTCATATTATGTTATACGAATTCCGCAAAGGAAAAACAGTAGGCGCTGCAACTAAAGATATTCGCGAAGTTTATTTGGACCGTGCTCCAGCACTCCGCACAGTAAAGAAATGGTTCGCGAAATTTCGTTCTGGAGATTTTAACCTCGAAGATCAACCTCGCAGTGGACGGCCTTCTGAGCTTGATGACGATGTTCTAAGGACTTTAGTTGCGAATAACTCACGTATTTCGACGGAAGAGGTTGCCAGTGAATTGAACGTCAACAAATCAACTGCGTTTCGTCGTTTAAAAAAGGTTGGGTACACTTTGAAGCTCGATACATGGGTGCCACATCAGTTGAGTGAAAAAAACAAAGTGGACCGTATGTCAACAGCAATTTCTTTGCTTCGACGGATCAAAAACGAACCTTTTTTGGATCGGCTCGTGACTGGTGATGAAAAATGGATCCTGTACAACAATGTTCAACGCAAAAGAACATGGAAACAGGCACACGAAGGGGCGGAACCGATGTCGAAAGGTGGATTGCATCCGATGAAGGTACTGCTGTGCATTTGGTGGGATATCCGAGGCGTGATCTATTTTGAGCTCTTGCCAGCTGGAGAAACGATCACTGCCAACAAGTATTGTCAGCAATTGGTCGAATTGAAGAAAGCAATTGATGAAAAACGTCCGATTTTGGCCAATCGCAAAGGAGTTCTTTTCCATCATGACAACGCCAGGCCACATGTTGCAAAACCGAC